GTCTGACGTGGTGTGTCCCTGCAGGGCCCTCAGGCCTGCCCAGTGCTCACCATGGCTCTGTGCATGCAGCAGCCACAGAGGTCTGCCCAAGCCCTGTCTGTCTGTCTATCTGTCAGGCAGTCTGCAGAGCCTCTCAAGCCAGGTCCTTGGCTTTCATCATATTTCTCCCATTGCTAAGCTGAAAGCAAGATTTCCCATCCGTCTGGTTGGAGGGGCATCCCAGTCACCCCTGGGAGCCTGTGGGTGACAGCGTCAGCCTACGACCCCCTGAGACAGGGAGGTCGGTGTTGCCGCAGCCAATCAGAAGCTTCTCTCTCAGATTCCCACCATCTGCACCTTACCAGACAGCAGGAGACGCAGGGTGGGCACCCCCAGCGACTGCCCTTCCCCAGGGCGGAGCTAGAGTGTGCCTCCCTCCTCTGAAAACAAATTTAATTGCAAATTGGGGACAGGTCTAGGAGAAGGACTGTGAGAATTGAGACCAAAGTTCCCTTAGTGGGCTGAGCCGTTTCTGGGTTTCTATTCTGCTTCTACGTGGGAGTCTGATTGGCTAAAAAAGAGCGCAGCACCAAATGCTGGCTGCTTAGCGCGGGAGCCCTGTGCATGAGGGAGTTTGTAGGTGGGGTTTTGTGTGAGCCGTTGGAGAATTAATTGGAGCAGCAATTCTCCTGACCCAAATCTGATTCTCTGATCCCGTTGTTTTTTTCTGAGTCTTTCCGGAGAGTGTGGCCGTTCTGCATGTGACATCTGAACCGGCCCAGACAGCTCTTTTCCAGCTGGAAGCTGGGCTGGCTGAAGCGTCTGTCCTCCCTCTTTCTAGGCCCTTTGCAACCAGGAACATATTTGGTCTTCACTGAAATCACTACTCAAGGTGTAGGGGTGACAGTGGTAAACGAGAGTGAAGTGCTTCCTGACCCCTTGGAGCTCCCGTCCAGCAGGTGACACAGGCACTGAGGGACTTGCTGGAGCACCTGGTAATCCGAAACGCGGTGTCCCTGGTCTGGTGGTTAGGGAGAGCTTCCCAGGGGGCGTGATATTTAAATTAAGACCAGGAGGAAGAGTGGGAAATATCTAGGCAGAGTGGGGTGTGGAGCATTTTAGCCAGAGATACCAACCTGTGCAAAAGTTCTGAAGAGAACAAAGAGGAGAGTGTGCCAGATGAAGCTGAAAGGCGGAGCAGGGGCCAGGTCCCAGGGCCTGGATTTCCCTCAAGAGCTTCTGGGTGTTCATTCTGACAGCGATGGGAAGCCGTAGATGGGTCTTCGACAGGAGTGACCTGCCAGGTGTGTTTCAGAAAGTGCTGTCTAGTTTCTGTGAGCTGCTGGGAAATAGTTTCCGCCCACAGATCACTCTAGTGATGATTCAAGCCACCTCGTGAGCCTGGGGCTGCTCAAGCAAACAGACCCGGCTCAAACGTGACCACTGTGCAGCTTTCACTGACACCACAGCCAGAGTTCTGGTCTTTTCCATTCTCCCGTCACTAAGGCACAAGTCTCACAGGTTGGTTTCTCACGGTCAGCACCAGACTGTGTTCCTGTGACCCAGCTGGCCAGCCCAGGACAAGGGGTAGTGAGTGACCTGGGAAAAGGGGAAACTGGGAGTTACGAAATTGCGTGAGCAGAGTCTGGAAGTGCCTTATGTAAAAGATGCGTGTCCTGGGACAGTCCAGTGACAGGGTGCAGGGCCAGCTCCGGTCACCCGTGGGAAGGAAGGCAAAGGTGATCCCTCGGGGGAACTGCGTGGCTGGTCGTCTGCGATCTCTTCTCAGAGACTTCCTGCTGGTTCCTAGCCTGCTGAGTCTGTCTGCCTCCCCCTCCCCGGGGTCCTCGTGGCTCAGTGCAGGCTGGGTGCGAGCGTGTGCCAGCCTTCTGGGGAAGGGCGGCCAGGGACACTGGCGTCCCTTGTGAAGGTGGCCTGGGTCAGACCACTCCCTCTCTCCACCTCTAAGATTATAAAGGTAAAATTCAGGGAGGGCATCAAAGGCAGAATGCTGAGGACAAGAAGAACAGGGAAGTAAGTATGAGCTGGCCATGCAACCATCCTCACTTCCCCATAACCAAGTAGTGTTCTTACCACTGTTGGCATCTGGGGAGAGATATTCTTTAGGCCAGTTCTGCGTGTTGCAGGACATTTTGACATCTCTGACTTTAAAATGCTCCTATATGGTGGTTGTGGTGGTGAGGGGGAGGTGTTTGGGAGGTGGAAGGATGGAGAAAAACAGAAAAAGAACTCATGGCAAAAATGTATTTCTCAGTGAACAGTTAAAAAAAAGGCTCCTATACTTTGCAACGGAATACTACACATCTGTAAAAAAAAAAAAAAAGAAGGAACTCTTACCCTTTGTGACAGCACAGATGGACCTGGAGAGTTTTATGCTAAGTGAAATAATCCAGACAGAGAAAGACAAATACCATATGCTGTCACTAATAGGTGAAATCTAATGAACAAAATAAACTGACTACAAAACAGAACCACAGGCATGGGTACATGGAACAGACTGACATATCGCAAGAGGGGAGGTGGATAGGGATGGGGGGCACTGGGTGAAAGAAGATAGAGAGATTAGCCAAAGAACATAGATGCATAGCCCGTGGACACAGACAGTTGGTGAAGGCCCAGGGATAGGGGAGGGGTCTGGGTGGAAGTGGGCAAAGAGGGACAAATGGGGACATCTGTTATAGTGTCAACAATAAAAAGTGCCCCTACACATTTTCAGATGCTACTAACTGCCTCTTTCCCAACTGAGAACCACTGTCCCACTGTTTATGGGGACAGGGTAAGCATAGCTGTGCTTCAGATCCTGCAACTTGAGAGCAGGGAGCCTGGGAAAATCCCCCCATTTGATAATATCATAAGGAAGGTTTTATCCCACGGGACAGTTTTTCTTCTCACGCCACTGATGGGGTCTCCTGCTGTCTCCTGACCTCAAGTGGAGTTCCCGCTGACTTCCCTAGCCTTGTTGCTGTGTAGAATCTGTGGACTAAGCTGCGATTTTAGCGCAGGCTTTTCCAGGCCTCTTAGCCGGAACGCTCTGGAGGCCGAGGAGCTGCTTTGCTGAGCCACCAGATGGCGCCCCGGAGCCCCGGCTGTCTGCCGCAGGAGCGCTAGTAGCAGGAGTGACTGCAGAGGGAACTTGGCTTAAAGAGGCCTGGTCCTTAAAGAGACAGGGCCACACACCCACGAACTTGAACGGTAACACCTAAGCGAGACTCCACCAATGACGAGCACCAGTGACCAGGCCCTGATGCTCCTTCTTAGCCTTCGTGACTGTTGAGGTGCCACCTTTGGAGCCTGTCTCCTTGACAGCTTGCCCTCAGCCCCTGTGGCCACTCCTGGGCCTGACAGGGACTGGGTCAGCCTGGTTGGTGGCGTCAGAGCTCCTGGCAGAGCAGCACGGGCCTGGGACGAATCTGCGGAACTCTGGCTGAAAGAGCGAGAAGCACAGCCAGCTTCAGGGGAACCGCGGCCTCAGGAGGGCAGAGGGCCAGCCTGTGAGCTCTGACCCCAGCTGGATTCGCCCCTGCCGAGCTTGGAGCTGATAAGTTCAGAGCTGCTGAACTTTGTCTCTGGGTTTTTGGGACTTAGGGAATCCTTCCGTCTCTTCTACTGGCCTCCTACCAAGTGCTGATGAGGATGCTGTGGTAAGTAAACAAGGAAGGGGCTCCAGATGCTACCGTTGAGCCCTCTGATCAACTCTCTAGGAAACCTCTCACGTCAACCCCCAGGGTGGTGGTGTAAGCTGGGCAGAGTTGGGTAAGGGCCGTTTTAGCGGGGGCTCGGCACCAGACTCTCCCGAAACTGCAGCTTAATCAAGCTAAGGCAGTGTCTCTGTACGGAAGGCTGGGCTCACTGTGGACCCAGTCATGGGAGCCGGACTTCAGCACACCCCGGGAAACATGTGGGTATGGGTGAGGAGCTTCCCGGCTACAGAGACCCGGCTACAGGTCACTGTGCCTTCTCCCATCCAAGGGAGGCAACAAGGGGTGAACGCTGTTCTTGGGTTTATATTTTGCCAGAGCTACAGCTCTTTCCCATGACTCAAGCTCACGCAAAACTTTGGTAGAGGAAGGAATCACTGAGGAGGACTGAGTTCATCTGTGCTGCCTGCAGGTCTGACTGTCCACTGCAAAAGCGAGGAGGCTGGGGAGAGGCGGGTGGGAAGAGGACCAAGGACAGAACTGTCGGGGCAAGCCCTTGTCCCTTAGAGGTGACTCAGAGAACACACACGTGGACTCTGGATTCAGAATCTGAGTTCATTTCCAAGGTCACCACCTGCTTACCAATGGCTTGTCTTTCTGCTTCTGTGGAATGGAGAGGCCTGGGGAATTTTCATCTTTCAAGGCCGAGGGTTGAGGGTGAATCTTAGAACAGTAAATGCTACTTTATCACATCAAGGTGAAGGAAATGAAGCGCGGGTGGGAAACAGGCCACCCCAGGGTCTGCTGGGAAGCAAAGTGTGTAGTCCCGTGGGGCTGGTAGAAAGCCTGGAAGTTTTCTCTCTGATCCATCTGGCCACCCACCTACAGATGTGAAAACTGAGGCTGAAAGGGCATGGGACTGGCCCAAGGCGGAGAAGCAGTGGGGTCTGGCTGGGACTGGAGTTCAGGAGACTGTCATCGCACTGACTGCATGTAGCTTGTCTCCAGGGTCCCCGGCCCTGGTGTCAGTAGCTGTGGTTTTCTTTGGGAACCAGCTCTCTTTCTGCTTAATCATTGGTGGCTCTGGGGGCGGGGCGGGGGGTGTGCTCTGGATTTCTTCCTCCCTTTCTCTTTGTTCATTTGTTCACTCATTGTAGCCCGATCCAGAGATTACACGTGGGCTCTAGATCAGAATCAGGGTTCATTTCCAAGGTCACCACCTGCTAGCCAATGGCTCATCTTCCTGTTTCTGTGGAATGGAGAGGATGGTAGTGCCTGTGGGTTTATTACAAGGATTAAGTGAGATAATCTGTGGGACACACACAGAGCAGTGCCCAGCACTTCAGAAGCACGCAATAGATGTCAGCTGTGGTTAATTTTATTTATTTATAATTTTATTGAGTGCCAATCTGCTGGGCTTTTGACAGAATGCTGATCTGGGGGCACAGTGTGGTCACCACTGCTTCGGAGGTCTACCCGAGTCTCGTTCATCCACTGGATTCCAGTGAAAAGAGATGAAGCCTCGGCTTTTGAAGAGCTGATCTGCCATGGAGGGTGAAAACTCTTGCTTCTTTAGCTATCACAGTCTGCTTTCTTTGTGGTTTTTTTGTTGTTTAAATTTGAATGCAAAGAGCTCCACCCTCCTGGCTGCCTGTACACCAGCCTCTGCTCACTGGCGCTCCCTGCTGGCCCCAGAGTGGAGAGAGGCAAATGGAGATCCTCTTTACCAGCAGTGTCCTCTGCGGGACTGAGGCAGCAGAGACTCAGGGTTGGGGTGCAGGGATCCTTCTCGTTGTGCACAGTGGAGCTGGGTTGCCAACAGTGAGGAGGGAAGAAAAGCGGAAATACCCAGTTTGGGTTCTCAGCACAGTCACTGTTTTCCATCCTGGCCAAGTGGCCAGTAGAAACAAGAGTTGGTTGTTGGAGGGGCAGTGGGTAGCACACCCCTGGGAATTATGTGCGAGGCCACTGACCTTCAGATGGGATACAACTTCTTCCCCCTCAGTCCGTCATCATCAGCAGTCCTGGCCAGGCGTGGTGGCATGGTGGTCGGGGGGGGGGGGAGCTGAGCCTGCCTGCGGACACAGGCCAGAGAGAGGCTGGGGAAGGTGGGGAGCGTTCACTCACAGGACTGGACAGCAAATGGTTCGTGCGGGCTTGGAGGACACCTTGCGGTGGGTGCTGACTCAGTGCCTCAGTGTGTGGACGGGTCTGCGCTTCGCTGAATCAGGGTCCACGGGAAGGCGCCCCCGCTGCTCTGACTGGCTGGCGTTGCTGGCCGAGCACTTCGCCTTTGGCAAAATGCAGATGAGAGTAACTCTTTAACTCCTTCCTTCCTAAGATGTGGATTGGGTCTTCCCCAAAGTCCTCCCCTCCCCTCCCGGGATTCTGGAGGCTTCTGCTCCAGTCTGAAGGTGCCCCGCTGCTCAGAGGCCCACACGGGACGTGTCTCTGTAGCCCAGGTCAGAGTCAGGCTGTGTGCTGTTAGCGTCTGCTGAGCACCCAGCAGAGGCATCCAGAGAATCGCCAAGTAACCGCCCTTTCCTGGGACATGTGCGAGACAGGTGGATGGTGACAGAAGAGGGCTGGGAGGGTTTCCTAGAAGGTGGCCTCTAACTCATGGGCCAGCAAAGATGTCCAGGGACCTTCGTCACCTTGGTTTCACCAGTCACTGACAGTGCAGGCAGCTTAGCTTGCATTGCCTTTAAAAGCATGAGCAGACGGCACCAGGGTTCAAGTCTCAGCCCTCCACTTACTGGCTGGGTGGGTGCCTTAGCTGCTCGGTGCCTCAGTTTTCTCACCCGGGAAATGGAGGGAACTGAGAGAGTAAGGGTCACGGTGAGGGTGAGATAATCTTGTAAACAGAACGCTAACTAGGATCTGAGCCAGGTACGCTGCAGTGGTTCTCTGTCAGTATTTAGAGGTGTTCCTCTTTGTGGCCTCCAAGATTGCTCTCTCTCTCTACCCTGAGCTGCGTCTGGAGTGGGAGGTCCAAGACAGGATTGGACAGAATGTATGCAGAAAAAAGCAAACTATGGCAACGCTAAGGAGAGCGACTATAACATTTTAGTTTCAAAAATGCTGAAAATAGCTTGTTCAAGCCTTTGTAGATAAAAATGTAAAACGTATGCAAATGTATGTGACTCACGCCGAAATATGCATCCATGGCCTGCTCATAGCCAGTGTCCGGATGTGACCATCAGGAAAATACCTGCAGCATGGAGAGAGAGGGCCGAGGCTGCCTTGGTGGTGGTGGTGGTTGGGGAGGGGGCGGTGCTGCTGGTTCCCTGGGCTGTGCTCCCGCTTCTGCCTTACCTCTGGGTTCTGTGCCTTCCGAGAGTTCCACGTGGGAAGAAGAGAGGCCCTGGGCCCCTCTCTGCTCCTCCATGATCCCTGTCCTCCCTCTGGTTCCTCCGAGAGCCCACTTGCTTCCTCTCCCATCCGGGCTCTATTTCTGGAGCATCTCACTGGAGATGTACGCCTCCCTCTCCGCCAAGCTCCAGGTGCCGGCTCCGTCCTCCCAGCCCTGTGTGCGAGGCAGCAGTGGTGGGAGGGTGGCAGCTGAGCAGGGAGGGGCTGCAAGATAGAAGCCGGGGCACTGGGGTAGGGGAGAGCCGAGTGGATGCAGGGAGGGGCCAGTATGACAGGACAGTTCCACTGCAGCTACCTGTGGAGGCTTTCCACAACCCAGAGCATCTTCTGCCACGTCTCCTGACCTGCTGTGTGGCCACCGTGGTCCCCTGGGGCAGCTCCGCAGGCCTCTGCCCAAGCAGCTGCAGGGCTGGGTGCGGGCTTCCTTTCTGCACCATGGTGAGGGCGTGCTTCTCCCCTTAAGAATAACTAGAGCCACAGTTGTTTGGAATGATGGGAAGCCTCCTGCTTCATGCTCTGTGGGTGCTGGCAAGACTGCCCCCCACAAAGGGCAGGGGGAGCCGCAGCTTGTGGGCCCGTCTGTAGAGCTGGGTCCCAGCTTTACCCTTACGCTGCTTGGGCGTGGGGGGTGGAGAGGGTCACCTCCCTTATCAGAAACCTCACTATCTTAAGTAAAACCTGCATAAACGGCCCAATGCTTCCCTTCCCTTAGACTCCGGAGCTTCAGCTCCTGCTGTCCTGGACCACCCTAGGCTGACCCCCGCCCCTCCAGCCCCTTCTCTGGACTCCTTCAGCCTAAGGAAGCCTGCAGAACTCCAAGTTGCCTTGGGTCTCACAGAACCAGCACTCAGGGGACAGGCACCCCCGCCCCATCTCTTCGCTGCTTTTGTGAGGTCTTAGGAGGGATTTTGTCTCTAAAGGTTCTGTGTCGCAAGAGGCGTCTTGACCCCAGACTTCCCCTCCGTTCGTGTGTGACTGTGTATCTACGGCCTCCTGCGCTGTGCTAGGAATCCCCCGAAGGGGGCCCTGGAAGGGACCCAGCCAAGACGCCAGAGCCTCCCCTGGGCCCCAGTTTGTCCTCCCACAGCCCCCCACTCATCCCCAGCCTCTGGCCTTTCTCCAGCCGCCGCTCCCTGGAGCCCAGGGCAGCAACGGCCCAGCTGCTAGGTCAAGGGTGTTTAGATAGACGAGGCGTTGTTGAGGTTTGGAAGGCAAGAGTCCCTGGGCAGCCAAGGCTGCCCGCCGGCCGGCAAGACCTTAACCCCGTCAGCGCCGCCTCCCAGGCTCGCCTGGGGGAGGGGCCCGGCAGCCGCACCGGCCCCCGAAACTGCGCTTGGAGATCCCGGGGTGGCAGGTGATGTCACCCCTGCGGGCCCGTAGGTCTCGCGCGGCACCTGGTCTGCGGGCTGCCAGAATTCGGCCGAGCCCAGCGAGGGGCAGAGAAGGAGCCCGGGCCTGCGCCGCCGCGCGGAGAGCCCCGCGGGGCCGCCGCTCCGTGGTCGCGGGCCGGAGCCCTTCCCGCCCGCGCGTCGGTGGGGGCCGCCGCTTCCCCACACCCGCCCCCCCCCCCGGGCCGGAGGCGGGCTGCGGCGGGAGGGGGCGCGCCAGCCTCGCGCAGATTGGTCGCCGCCTCGGCCCCCGCCCCTGGCGCCGCGCAGCCCCGGGGAAGTTGCTAGTTGGCGCGAGGGCTGCGGGCCGAGGCTCCGGATCCGCAGCGGGGCTCCCCGCGGCCGCAGTGGCCGGCAGGGCTCCCGGGGGCGCCCGCTGCCCGCCGCCCGCGCCCGCCCCCCGGCCGGCTCCTCCCTGCTACCTGTGTCCCTGCCTCCCCCGCCTCCGCCGGCGCGCGGCAACTTCGGCCTCCGGGGCCGGCCGCCCCTCCCGGGCCCCCGCCGGCCGCCCGCGCCCTCCCTCCTTTGTTGTGCGATGCGGGTCGGGTTTCCGATCTGACCGAGCCGCCGCCGCCGCCGCGCGGAGCCGCGGGCATGGAGCCGCTGAGCCACCGGGGCCTGCCGCGCCTCTCCTGGATCGACACCCTCTACAGCAGTACGTGCGCGCGGGGCGCGGGCGGGCGGCGGGCGGGCGGAGCTCCGACGGGCCCGTCACCCCTCCCACCTGTTGTGTGGCCCACCGCGCCGCGGTCCCGGGCGGAGGGCAGAGCCCGGGCCGGGCGCTGCCCGGCTCCCCGACCGGCTGCTGCGCCTGACCGTGGCCGAGGCGGAAAGGCGGTTTTGGCAAAGTCCTCGGGGCGGGAGTTCGCCGCCTCGGGGGCGTCCTGAGACGCGTGTGCGGTTCGGGGCGGGGTGGGCGGGGAGGGAGAGGGTGTGGGTGCGGATCTTCGCGGGGGCCGTTCGGATGAAGGAGCCGAAAGCCCCGGCTCCGCAGTCTCCCCGCCAGCCTCGCCCCCACCCCACCAGCGGGAAAGCCGAACCTTTGGGGCTTCTCCGCCCCCTCGCTCCCCAGTCAGCCGCGATCTTGCGATTGACCCTGCGCTGCCGCTGGGAATTCGCAACTGATTTCTGGCACATTTGGGGGCGAGGGGTAAGCGCCCCGACCCCGCCTCGCTTCGGGGCAGAAGCTTTGGTGGCGGGTGCGCTCCCATCCCTCCCGCCCCACCTCTGCCTTAAGACACCTTCCCCAACGCGCTCGGCGATGCGGGATAAGGGTCCTGCTGGCCCCGCAGAAGCCAGGTGGTGGGTTTCCCTCTCCCCGACGCTTCACCGGGACCCTCCCACTCCCTCTGCTGCTCTCCGCGCCCGGACCCGGGAGCCCTGGGGCAGGAGGTAGGGGCTGAGGGAGGCAGGTGGAGCTGGGTTCCGGCGCTGGCCATGGGTCAAGGACATTTCTAAGAGCCAACTTGGCTGGAATTCCTTGCATCAGTCGTATGGAAGGTGGGACGAGGGAGTAGTCAAGGGTGATGCCTCCCACGCACCCCAAGGTCTTGCCTTGGAGGCTTCTTAGTGTCCAACATCCAGCCTCTGACCTCTGCACCCACTTGGGTCGCCGTCACTCCTCATACCTTCTCCTCCCTCTTCTTGCTCCTCCTCCCCCTCCACCCTTTTTCCCTTCCTTTTCTCCCCCCACCCCCACCCCCACCCGCGGAGCTCCCCTTGTGATGGTTCATTCTGCTTCAGTTTGTCAACATCAAAGGGGCAACGCTGCATCCCCTGGGTGTCAGCCCTGCGCCCAGCCCAGCCCCTCCATCTGCTCCTTCCCCGGAAGAGGCCAGCACTGTGGGGGGAGGCCGGGGCCCTCGGCTGTGTGGCGTGTGTGTGCACGTGTATCCCAGTGAACCGGGCCCACATCTGTTCAGAGCCCTGCTGCAGATCAGCTCCTGACCCGAAGGAAGGATTAGCAACCTCCTCTGCTGCACTCTTGCAGATGACAGTCATAACAATGCCTCGTAGTCACATGCTGCTTACATTTCTGAATATTTCTGGCTCTTGGTGAAACCCACCCAGTATTGGCTTCCCCATTTCCCAAAGCACAGGACCCTACAGAAACCTGGCCCCGGCTTCCTCTCCACTGCTCTGAAGAAGAATCCCAGACCCAATCATTGCCGAGTTTTCCTCTCTCCCCCTTCCCTCCCTGACCCCCTAAGCAGAGAATCAGCATTGCCTGAGGCTACCTTGAAAATTTCTGACCAGAGGAAGCCGGGACTGGAAAGGGAATTAGACCAATGGGCCTCTCTGGGGATGCTGGTCAACCAGCCCTGACTCTGGCAGGCTGGCATGCGAGCTGAGCTGTCTCTTCTGCTGCTGCTCCTGCCCTGGCCCCTGGGCTCCTGGGCAGGCAGCCTGACGGAGGGGCGGGAGGGGGCCCTGGCTTGGCAGCAGTGTGACGCGTTCCTGCCTCCCTCTTCAAAACGGCTTATTTGCGAGCTGCAGAATGAGGCTTCCTGGGGAGGTGCTGTGCAGTCATGTTTGGGCTGTTAGCCATGAAGTTTCCTCTTGACAAGAGCCTAAATTAAAACAAATACCCGGGCTGTCATTTGCCTGGCAGCAGGGTTTTGTGGCTCCGAGAGGAAGTTCCTCTGCCTCTCGGGAAGCTGTTTGCTTACAGGGATCACAGTCCTGGGGTGGCCAGTCGCCACAAAGGCCACATCCGTCGGGAATTGTAAAGGGATGTACCTAGGGCACGGGGTGGCCAGCGTACTTCTTAGAGACATGAGTTACCCGGTGAGAAAGCTTCCTCCCAAGCACGTGATAATAGTGTCTAACAGGGATGACAGCATCTCCTGAGGACCTGGTGTATGCCAGGCTCTCTGCGAGGCACTTTGCATCCATTCTTTCCAAACCTCACAACATGGGCAGGAAGATACGTAGTCTTACCCCCACTTTGCAGAGAGAGAAGCTCAGTAAGTTCAAATCATTACCTAAGGTCCCATAACTGATAAGCAACAAAGCCAGCATTCAGATCATACACTAGGAAGACTCGAATTTTGCCTGGATATGTGTGAGCTTATTCAAGGCCTTGAAATGCTGCAGCAGGGTAAGTGGCCTCAATAACTCTGACCCCAGCCTGTCCCTGTGTCTCTGGGAGGAACTGAGACCTGGTCCTGGAGCCCAGGCAGGGCTGACTGAGGCTCTGACCCCCTCCGAGCCCCGCCCCAGGCCAGTAATTCTCTTCCCCTAAGGTGGCTGACTGCCGTGCCCTTGAGTTACCAGCTCCTTCCGGCTTCAGCATCTATGCCAGGAAGAGTGTGTCCCCTTCCGTTGTAGGTTGCTAGTCATTTGATAAGGGGGGGCAGCAGCACCCCTCTTTCCCCTGTGGTAGAATTTGTTAAAGGCCTGTAGAGTGGTGTCGATTTGTCGGACTCAAGGAGACGGGGTTGGCTCCCAGCTGCCAGAGTGGTCCAGGGCTGACCGTGGCAGGGTCTCTGTCCCAATACGGTGGCTCGGCCACTGCCGGTTCCAGCCATCCCACTTCCTGTCTCTGGCACGAATTTCCCAACAGGAATGTCATTTGTCAGCTTTGCCACCCACCGCACCCACCCCCACCCGGGGCCTTGTCTAGATTCGTACCCCGGACCTGGTATCATTCTCCCCGTAGAGCTGCGATCTTCATTTTATCTTCTTTCTGTCTTTTTCTCATCACTTTTTCCAAGAAACACATCACTTCCTCTTGGTTTTCTTTATCATGGGATTAGGTGGGATTAAATTAAGTTCTGTGGAAGGAATTACCTCCAAATAGGGGGAGGGGGAACCTCCAAATAGGGGGAGGGGGAACTGGTGCTCGGAAACCTCCTCTGTCCCTGGAGCAGAGACAGACGCGGATTGAGATGTGTGTGCCCCAGGTATGCTAATCATTTGGCACCTCTTCAAATGGAAAGTCTTTAGCCATATGTTCAGGACTTATTTAAATAGCTGAGGGCTCATTTAAGGTCTTTTCCTTTGTCATTCCAGCCTCTTTCTTGTCCCAGGCCTTTCAGCTCTGGCCTCAAACATTCCTACCCTATTGAGCCAAACAAAAGCTCACAGCTACTGGGACCTCACAGAAGGCAGAACTCGGCCATCTGTTGTTATTAGAACCTACCTTTTGGAGCTCCCGACTCTTATCCCAAACAGCATTTCTAAGGCACATTTCAGTCTGTTAGGAAATTCTCATGCCCCTTGTCCAGGGGCCAGAAAAGCGAGTGGGGCCGTGGGGACACAGCCCACCTGCAGGTGATCACTAACCTGCCTCAGTTTCCCACCTTATTCCTGTATTAGCCACTGGCCTGGCAGACTGTGTGGGCTTGACCAGGGCCACCCTCGCGGCCAGACCACCCCTGGTGTGCTAGTGAGTCCTAGCAGGTGGGGACCTCTTACCCTCTGAATAGCCCCAGTCAGAACACCAGAGTGCCATCGGGGCAGCTGCCCGAGCCTCAGAGGTGGGGCTGGCAGGGGAATGAGGTCATCTGTTCAGAGCAACGTAATTCGTTGTGGTGATTGCTGATGTTGTTGTTCTTTGGAAAGAGGAAGAAACGGCAGGAATGTTCATGGAGAACTAGCTAGAAAATACAGTGGGTAGAAGGTGGGAGAGCAGTGAGAAACGCCCACTCCGCCTCACTCCTGTGGGTGGGAGGGGGGAGGGCGGCTCCCCGAGGTCGGCCGTTTGTTTGCTGCACGACCCGGGAGCCCACTCCAAGTGCGTGTTCCTGTAGAAGGAGGCTGCGAATCTCCTGTGGGCGCCGCCGTGGCGATCAACTGGCTAATGTTTCCATACAGTGCTTTGAAGATAAGGGGTGTTATTGAACTGCTCAGCTGTCCAGCACATCACGGCCCCCATCCATAAAAGGCTGGCAGAGGAGTTTGGAAGCCGGTGGGAAGGGGCAAGGGGGCAGGCAGGGGCGGGGAATCCGGCCCGGCTCTCCGGTGGCGCCCAGGCGGGGCCTCACACGCGGTGCGCCCTCCGCCGTCGTCTTTGGTTGTCTGAGCGCATATGAGAGGGAAGACGATTTCTCCATTCTTGGCTCCTTTACTCCTTCCTCCACTGGAAATCCCAGAAACCCATTAGCGGGCCCATTCACAAGGTTCCAGCTGTGCGGATTTGGTCATTGTAGTAACTTACAGTGGAGTCGGAGACCCCCCGAGGGAGTCGCACGCGTTGCTAGGGCTTCGACTGCGTGATGGGAAGGCCACACTGCCGGTGTTGGTGCCGCGGCTGTTTAGCTCAGCTTGG